CGGAGTCTTACTCTGTCGCCAGGCTGGAGTGCAGTGGCACGATCTCTGCTCACTGCAACTTCCGCCTCCTGGGTTCGAGAGATTCTCCTGCCTCAGCCTCCGGAGTAGCTGGGATTACAGGCATGTGCCACCATGCCCAGCTAATTTTTTCATTGTTAGTAGAGACGGGGTTTCACCCTGTTGACCAGGATGGTCTCGATTTCGTGACCTGGTGATCTCCCCACCGCGGTTTCCCAAAGTACTGGGATTAGAGGCGTGAGCCACCGTGCCCGGCGTGTGTGCGTGTGTGTGTGTGTGTGTGTGTGTGTGTGTGTCAGAGTTTCACTCTTGTTGGCCAGGCTGGAGTGCAAGGCGAGATCTCGGCTCATTGCAACCTCCGCCTTCCAGGCTTAAGCTGTTCTCCTGCCTCAGCCTCCCGAGTAGCTGGGATTATGGGCATGTGCCACCACGCCCAACTAATTTTTTGTATTTTTAGTAGAGACGGGGTTTCCCCATGTTGGTCAGGCTGGTCTCGAACTTCCAACCTCGGGTGATCCGCCTGTCTTGGCATCCCAAAGTGCTGGGATTACAGGTATGAGCCACTGTGCCCAGCCCTTTTTTTTTTTTTTAAGAGCTATATGATTACAATAGTGTGTGTGTGTGTGTGTGTGTGTGTGTGTGTGTGTAGTCTAAAGAATAAAATTTCAACAAATGATTTTAAAGATCTAATTGGCTTCTATTAGCAATTCATGAACCAGGCAGCATTCTGTCCTCAACAGACAGGAGCTCTGTGGGAATGGAAGAACATCTGGGTTTTGTTAAGGTAACTTAAGGAGGAACAAGGGAAAAGCACAGTGCAGAAAGCACATGGGGTAACTTCAGGTTACTCTCCTTTATAGGTTAAAGCAGGGGGGGCTGCCTTAGCTGGTTCAGGCTGACTGGGCCCATTTGACTGGTTGCCGTGAATCTCCTGGTTTTTGAAAAACCGGCTCTTTTGGGGATTTTCCTGTTTTTTAAAGTCTCTGTTTAGTTATGTGGCACTTAACACGGTGGCTTCATTTTAGTTTGGTCTGTTGGGGCCTAGTTCAGGAGCTCAGTCCAAAACAATGGCCTACCATAAATTTTATTTAAATATATGTGTATCTGGAAAGTGAAGAATTCCCCAAACCTACCAATTTCATCCATATCTCTACCACTCCTACATTCGGTACTTGCTTGCTGATTCAGTATATTCTAGAATTGGCAGATTTTCATTTAGGAAAGCAGAGAATGACACACAATGTGCCAACAGTAGTCATCGACAATGTCTACCCAAGCGCAGGTGCTGACAGACAAGAAGGCATGGAAACGTGAACTAAGCGCAGGAAGGTGGATTCACCCAGCAACCCAGAAAGGAAGCTCATCTTCCTGGTGAAGTGTTGTTGATATCAAATGGGACATTTCTGATGTTCAAGTTTCAGCAGAAACTTGGTCCCTACTGTTCTGGGGTGAATTATACTCCCCCAAAAGACATATTGAAGTTCTAAACCCAGTACCTGTGAATGTGGCCTTATTGTAAATAGGTCTTTGCAGATGTAACCAACTTCAGGTGAGGTCCTACTGGAATAGGTAGGCCCTAATTCAATATGAATGGTGTCTCTTTTTTCTTTTGAGAGAGTCTCACTCTGTTGCCCAGACTGGAGTGCAGTGGCACAATGTCAATTCACTGCAGCCTCCGCCTCCCGGGTTCAAGTGATTCTCCTGTCACAGCCTCCTGAGTAGCTGGGATTGCAAGCACCTGCCACCACACCCAGTTAATTTTTGTAGTTTTAGTAGAGATGGGGTTTCGTCATGTTGGCCAGGCTGGTCTCAAACTCCTGACCTCAGATGATCCGCCTGCCTCAGCCTCCCAAAGTGCAGGCATTACAGGTGTGAGCCACCGCCCCTGGCCTGAATGGTGTCTTTATAAGATGAGACACAAATACATACACAAAGGGAAAATACTGTGTGACAACAAAGGTAGCAAGGAGAATGCTGCACACCTGCAAACCACAGAACAGCAAGGGTCACCGGGAACCACCGGAAGCTGGAAGAGGCAAGGAAGGAGTCTTCCCTAAAGTCGCCAGAGAAAACATGGCCTGCAGACACCTTGATTGCAGACTTACAGCCTCCAGAACCGTGACAGAATCCATTCTGTTGTTCTAAGCCCTACCGTTTATGGAACTTTGTTACAGCAGCCCTGAGAAACCAACATGCTAGCTAAAGGCTATTTTTAAAATTTTCACCAGAGTCGGCCCAGAATTGTGTGAGTGCTTTTGGCATCACTATTTCCTGGGGAGAGGTCATACTTTATAGAGGGGCAGAGCATCAGCCCAAAAGAGGGTGCTGCCTGGGATGAAGCTGACCTCTGGCTGGCCTGGGTAGGTGGGGTCTCAGGTAGAGAAGATACATCCACCTACATTAGCTTGATGGAGTAACTTCATCTGTGTTTTTTCAAGCTATAGGAAGAAAGCTTTTCTTCTGTTGAAAATGATACTAGTAGGTAGTGGAGATGAAACATAATTACAACAAGTTTTGAAATTTGCATATAAATGACTGTACTACACCCAAATTTACTATTCAAGCATTACCCATATTTAATGATAACCTCTTACTACATCATTTCCGTGTTAAGTTTGCTTTAGGGTTTGTATACATCTTAATAACATATAATTAGTTTAAAATCTTTTCTGGATATATCTTGAAAGAGCATGTCTGGTTTTAGCAAAAATAACAAGTGGCCCATAAAAAGGAGGCATTTCTGTGAACTATGGCATACAGGGAAGTATGAAAAGGAACTTCCACTATTTTATCCTGGCATTGATTGAATTTTTTTTTTTTTTTTTTTGGAGACAGATGCTTGCTCTGTTGCCCAGGAAGGAGAGCAGTGGTGCCATCATAGCTCACTGCAGCCTCAAACTCCTGGACTCAAGCAATCCTCCCACCTCAGCCTCCCAAGTAGCTCAGAGGACAGGTGCATGCGACCATGCCCACCTAATTGTTTTACTATTTGTAGAGACAGGGTCTCACTCTGTTGCCCAGGCTGGTCTCAAACTTCTGAGATCAAGTGATCTTCCTACCTTGACCTCCCAAAGTGCTGGGATTATGAGTGTGAGCCCCCGTGCCTGACCTGACTAAATTTTTTTAATGAACATCTACTGCCTTTATACTTCATTTATTAGGTTGGTTCAAAAGTAATTGCATCTTTTAATACTTTAGTGGCAAAAACTGCAATTACTTTTGGACCAACCTAAAAAACACTAATTTTTTTTTTATAAATTTGCTTTTTAAAATTAATCCACTAACACTTAGAAGCAGGCTCTTGTTTATTCCACTAGGTAACATAAGTAGAAAACACATCTCTTCCAGGCAGAGCATCTGGGAAAGGTATTACAATTAATCTAACACATACGTTTCCAGATACCACTTAGGGTTCATGTTACTGGAGGAATGTAATCCCTTCTTTCACTTCTGTTTTACTCACGAGGCATTCTTAGAGGAAATGAAATATGAAGTCTTTAAGAGATAGCCAAGACCAGGGCGTGTCACGCTTTATTATGTATATAAGTCACCTGTGGATCTTGTTAGAATGCAGGTTCTGATTGAGAAAGTCAGGTGTGGTGTCCAAGATCCTACAGAGCTAACCAATTCCAGATGATGTCAAGCTCCTAGATCAGATGCTGCTCACCTGCAGACCACACCTGGAGTAGCGGACAGTGCAGGCTTAACTGCAGGCCTCTTCACTGCAGGCTCTTGAAGCTTCTCCAGCTGACCTTCAAAATTTAAGCGGGAAGACGCCAAATACTCAATAGGAAAATGGGCAAAATTCATGATCAAACAATTCACAGAAAATATATAAAAATGGCTGGTAGGACCAGGCGCGGTGGCTCACGCCTGTAATCCCAGCACTTTTGGGAGGCTGAGGCAGGTGGATCACGAGGTCAAGAGATCGAGACCATCCTGGTCAACATGGTGAAACCCCGTCTCTACTAAAAATACAAAAAATCAGCTGTGCATGGTGGCGCGTGCCTGTAATCCCAGCTACTCAGGAGGCTGAGGCAGGAGAATTGCCTGGCAGAGGTTGCGATGAGCCGAGATTGCGCCAGCCTGGGTAACAAGAGCAAAAAAAAAAAAAAAAAAGAAAAAAAAAAAAAAAAAAAAAAAAAAAAAAAAGGCTGGTAAACATATGGAGAGATGTTTGACCTCATTTATGGTGTAAGAAATGCAAATGAAAACTCCACTGGTACACAACTTCTCACTGAATTGGGAAAATTCTAAGTTGTCACATTTCATATGGAAAGGCTATTGGGAAACAGGCGCTGTCACATGTCACTGGTAGAGATGCAAGGTGATACATCTGCTATGCCGTGGAATATGGCAATATCTAAGAACATGATATATGCATTTGCCGTTTGTGCCAGCAGTCCCACTGCTAGAAATCTTCTGTGAAAATACACCTTAAACAATAAGAAAATATTATGCACCCGGCTATTCATTGAAGCACTATTTGTAATGGCAAAATATTGGGAAAATATCCAAATATTGGAGATTGAGAAA